CCACATATCCACAAAAACAGTTTCCTCTATCCAAATAAACCTCTACATTTTATCTATACCTTTTATTCATCCATAATTTGTGTGTTCATTTATCTATCGGCTATCAGTTTATGAATTTATATTTCCTTTCAAATATCTGCCCAGCCTTTTCTACATATAAACCTCACTGCCTTGATTTCATTTACTATGCCATCACAATATTCCTCCAATCCATTCACTTGACTCACTGCAGCAATTTTTCTTCATTTTCTATAGTTTTACAATAAAAACATGTCTCTATAGTCTCTTCCCTCAAACTAAATCTTTGTCACACCCTCCCACAACCTTCCTATTTATCCCTTTAGTTAAATTTTCAGTTATTAGTTCAACCATCTACACATCCATCTATCTTGGTTCTTTAATTTTCTTTCCTTGTCCATCCATTTATCTATTCAAGCCTCCCCCCCACATCTCCCTAGCTACATTATCTTTAATTCTCATATCTCTTCCCTCCATTCATTTATTCAGAGTTTTCCCATTTGTCTTTTCATCCATGAACCCATCCATCCACCCACTCAACTATCCATTCATCCATCATCCATCCATCCACCCACTAAACCAACTTTCTATTTATCCATCCATCCACTCAACCATCCATCCTTCATCTATCCATTCATCCATCCATCCATCCATTCATCCATCCATCCATCCATCCTTTCCACGTTCTTGTCAGGATAGGAAACTTAAACAGCATGGGATAAAGAAAGACTCATTATACATTTTTCTATCAAGAGCAAAGTTTCTTTCTATGGGAGTTATGTACAGACATAGATATTTTACCTCTGGTTTTGTTACTTGGGTGTTGGAAGGAGAGACTCTATATCCTTAAGGAGGTCAGCCATATGTGGATGAGCCAGGTTAAAAAAAGGGCTACAGAACAAGAGACTGTCCAAATATTGAAGGATGACCTGGGAGATACCTGAGGAGAAAGGGGATCCTTTGCTCATGCTTGTCCAAAAAGAAAAGGGCTGCCCTGAAACCCCTGAGGGAGGATAGTCCAGGTCAGCTGTTGTGCCCTAGAGATATCAGGATCCACACAGGTAAAAGCAAAAGGCCCTGACAGTCAGGGTGTATGCAGATTGTAAAAATTGCATCTTTTAGATAGAGTACTGAGAAGTGGGTGGTGCCAGTAGGTATTTGTGCAGGGAGGATGTAGTGGTTGAGCATAATAGGATGAATAAGAAGGACTGTAGCATTAATAATATTATGGTTCCAAACCAGGCAATAGATTCCATCGGATTTAATTACTGGTAAAATAGTCATGTTAGTAGGTCTGAGAAGTTGTTTAGGAAGGTGGAGGATGATGGGTTTTAACCCTTTCCCGTGTGAAAGAGAAATGGAGTATAAGGGTGTGTTGGGGAAATGGGTAGGATACTTAAGTTTAATGAGGACAGGAGTGTGGTGCTGAGCAATAGTAATTGTGAAAATGTCTCAGATGAAAGGATTAAAAAGATCTGGAGGGAGTGGGAAAGGAGATAAAAGTGGTTACAAGAGACAAAGAATCATAAAGGTATCAATTAATAAAGCTATAAAAATCATATAGAACACTTATATGTAATATACATACATATATCAAATATTAATAGATATAAAGATATACACAACAACACAATAATAGTTTGGGACCTGAATACCCCACTTACAACAACAGTCAGAAAAACCAAACACCTCATAGAGATGAAGAGGACAGTCAACTCCTCAGTGTCCTCGTTATCCACACATTGGGCAGGGTCCAATGTGTGGACCCTGCAGGGTCCAATGCATGGAATAGGGCAAGCTCTTGCCCTGTGGCCTTCCTTGCTCACTTGAAGCATGGTCTGGGTGGCATGCCTTGGGTGCCTCTTCTTTGAGAAGCATGTATGGCAGTAGCCTGGAGCTGGTAATTTTCCCTATCATGGACAGCCTTACTGGTTTTTTCCTGTTCTTCCCAGGTATAGAAAACCTTAAAATCCATGCTCACCAGATCTCATTGGGGGTGTTAAGGGCCATCCTCAGCCTTTAAAAAAATATTTTTTGCAATATTGGGAGTTGATTGGGAGATAAAATGGGCATTAAGAACAACCATACCTTCCTTTGACTCTGGTCCAGCTTAGTATAGTGCTGGAGTGCCACTATAAGGTGATCAAGAAATTTGGCCAGGTTTTCAGTGGGTCTTTGGATAACCTCCCCCCTACTTTATCATAGTTGACTGCATGGTAGGCTGCCTTCTGAAGGCCAGCCATTACGTAAGTTACAATTCTTTTCCTGTTTCCTTTTCCAGGAGCATTCTTTTGATAATTCCAATTGGGCTCTTCCCTGGCTACAGCTGCTGCCCATACCAGGAAGGTATTCTCTAGGCAATGAGTGTCGTCAGTGTGTGCCTGGGCTAAAGCCCACACCCTTTTCTTTTCCTTGGGAGTAAGGAGGATAAGATTGTAATCAAGTCATGCCAAGTAAGTTCATAGGACTGAATGAGTTATTTGAATTCTTGGATATAATTATTAGGGTCTTGGGAGATGACCCCAGTGGCTTCTTGATCTGGGAGATAGCAGAGGAGGGGGCATGAACAAGAATAAATACCTCTGTCCCTGCCATTTCCTGCAGAGAATATACGAAAGCTGGTAAAGATTATAAATCACTAGTACAGAATAGAGTGTGAACCATGGGAAGTGAGTGAAAAGGAGATGAAGGGGGAGAAGGCACCGAAGGTTTGACAAGGGGAGGAGGAACAGAATCCTCAATATCGAATAGGAGATCAGGCACCTCGGGTTCAGGAAGAGGCACCAGGCTCTTAGGCAATTTGGCAGTCAGGTGATGCAGCAGGGATAGGCTGCCCACATGCCAGGAGGATAAGGGAAAGTTGGGCAGAGAGAAGAACAAACACAGAGTGCAAAGAAAGCCTGAATGTATGGAACCTCTGACCCTTTACCATTGCAATGGCAGAAACTGTCCAAATCTCTGATAGTATTATAATCAAAAGTCCCATTTTGGGCCCATTGAGACTGATTGTCCAGCCTATGCTATGGCCAGACTTGATTGCAATAAAAGATAAGGCATTTTGGCTTTAGGGAGTCCTTGATTAGAGAATATCTAAAGAATGAAGGAGACATCCTAAGGAAATATCCCAGCTCAGGAGAGACTGATGGGACCCCAATGGAATAAGAAACATGAGGAAGAAGTCTGGTGAGGACATGGAGGAGGGGAGTACATAGGATGTAGAGAGGTAAAGTTCATCAGGATGTAGAGGGGAGGAGTTGGTAAGTCAAATTCTTGATTCAGGCATCCTAAAACAAGAAGAGACTGGCATAGGGGATCCCTCCGGTGTGGTACTATGTCAAAAAAGACAGCAGACCAACAGAGGGGCTATAGACAGAAGTCACTTACCAGACATAGAGAGGATAAGGTATGGTGGATGTGTAGACAGCAAAGTTAAAGGCAAAAAGTCCAAGGTGGGGTTCCTCTGGCTTTTGGCAGATGCTGGAGGGGATGTAGATAGAAGGGAACCCTACTGCATTGTTGGTGGGAGTGTAAACTTGTTCAACCACTTTGAAAAGCAGTATGGAGGTTCCTCAAAAGACTCCACATAGAGCTCCCCTATGGCCCAGCATCCCACTTTTGGGCATCTACCCAAATGATCACAAACAAGACCACACTAAAGCTACCAGCATTATTTACCATAGCTAAGATATGGAGCCAACCCAGATGCCCCTCAGTAGATGAATGGATCAAGAAAATGTGGTATATATACACAATGGAATTCTATGCCTCCATCAAAAAGAATGACACTGCACCATTGGTTAGGAAATGGAAATACCTGGAAAAATTATATTAAGTGAAGTATGCCAGACACAAACAAACATAGGTTCCATGGTTTCCCTTATTTGCAATAACTAGTATGTGTCTAGAATAATCTTATCAGTCAAGCAGAAAAGGTCAAAAGCTATGTACATATGACCATATAAGATGGTGCTAAGCAAAATGAACACCAAGATAGGGACACAAGAGGTTTTTACTTTGCTGCTGTTGTTTTTAATGTACTACGTGATTTTTTTTCTTTCTTTTGTATGTTCTTCTCCCATAGTACAACCCTTGTCACTGTATTTAATTCCGGTGCCCTACATCTTGTATATACATTTTTCTAATTTGGGGAGGGGAAGGAAAATAACAAAATGCTGGAACAAGGATACAAGTTGACCATTGTACCAACAAGATGTATGAGACACTATGTTGAGAATAAATTTTACAACTTGGAGTTGGGGGGAGGCGTTGGAGTGGTGAAGAGGGAAGGGATGGTAGGGGAAGAACAAAGGAGGGAGGGGTAACAATGCTTGATAGAAAATGTACTCATTACCTTACTCATGTAACCATAACCCTTCTGTACAGTAGGTTCTGGGTTGGAAAATTTTAGGAAGTTCCCCCGGGGAAGGGTAGTCAGTGGGCCAAACCATGGGAGCAACACTGAGTTATGAGAATGAATGATTCCCATCATTTGAGACCCTGAAGGGATGGATATAAAAGGTTAAGGAGCGTTGTAGTCTTTTTGGGCTACTTCCTGCTGACATAGAGGCATCAAGGGCTCACTGGGCTGGGGTGTTCAGAGTCCAGGTCTATGCTGGGCAGGATGATGTTGTAAGCAAAGCTCCAAGCTATCTGTACTAATATGTTGGCCTTAACTTGCTCCGGTGGTGGCCTGAGTAAGAGCAAATATCCTTTAGACAGAAACTTTTGAAAAATGTCAAGAAAACAGTGTCCAAGAAGGAGGAGTAAGAGGACGAGTGTTAAAGGTCCTAACGGAGAGGTGAGCCAAGGGGACCATTGTGAGAGAAAATCCCATCAAGATGTCCATTGGAGTGATTTCTATTATCTGTTGAGAAGTTCCTCCAATTGAGTTAAGGCTTCTTGGACTACTCCCCATTCATTAGTAGAATGACTCAAGGTCAAGAAAATCCATAGAGACATGGGCAAAGGTGACAAAGAGTTTTTATTTGGCTGGTCCTGACTGCCTTGTCCTGGGACCAAGAGCAGCCCCAACTTCCAGTAGGGCAGCATTATATAAATCAGAGCCAAATGTATATGGCAGTTTACAGAAGCTCAAAGATTATTCTTCAGCTGTGGTCAGATGAATGCAGACAGCAATCTGGAGGCCAGAGATTCAGGATTGAAATTGGGGATTATCAAAGAATGAAAAAAAAGCTGGGTTATTACATTCCCCACTAGTTTCTATGTGCATATCAAATCATAGATATGCAGATCACCCTCAGATGAATACATCAATGCACCAATCCTAACCCTATTCTTTGGTTTATGTAACCAGGTTATCTCAGAACTGCCTCAGAATGATGAACTGTGACTCTACCCAGCAGGTTACAGGAACAGGACAATTTCCTAGATTTGAACACAGTCAGATTCATATATATCTAGTTGCCTATCTTAGATGTCCAATGGACATCTCAGCTATTACAGGTACTAACAAAATTCTTGGATTTTACCAATGAAATGCACTTAACTTTTCCAATCTCCTCATTTCAGCCCATTATGCATACATTTACTCAGAACAAAAACCTACAAGTGATTAATTTTTCTTTTCTTCCTTCCATCTATAAGAAAAATCTACTGGTATTATTCCTCAACTCCAACCATTGCTCTTCATATAACCGAAGCTACAACTGTAACATCTTTCTAAACTTCTCTAAAACTCTTCACTTTTTAAGAGCAGCTAGAAGATCTACTCAAAGCCAAAATAGTGAAGAACTTACAGCCATTGTAGGAAGCTGCCTCGTAGGAAACACAAGATGATATGGTCTCCTCCAGATGACTGTCTTTGAACTTTCTCCAAACAGACCTCCAGGTTGAAGAGATGGGCTGGATCTGAACTGGACTGTGGTAGTGTTTCCCAGCAGCTTAGATGGATTGTCACACCTCCTACTGGGTTACTGGCCAATTTCTATATAGACTGGTTAAGGATACATTACATAGGCTTAGCAGGCTGAGTGCCCACTGGTTTTTAAGACAATTTTAGGCAGTAGCCGCTGAGTAATATACCAAGGTAACAATTAACCAGATATTTTTCCACACTTGCACACTTGTTACTACTGTCTTTAATGCCTCTTCCTTTAATCTTATCCTGCCTTATTTTCCAAAAAAAAGACTCCAATCTCTTGATCTTAAAGGGATTGATGGGCAAAGATCCATTTTTTTGTAACTTCTTCGAGCTGACTCAGGGGTGCTGACCCTACTTAGCTCAGAACCTATACCTTAGCCTATTTTTACCGAGGGTTGCCGGGATCAGCTATCATTAAATTACCTGTGCAAGAGAGATCTCAATAGAGGCACAATCTCAGGTCCACAAACTTCTTCCTAACAAATACATTCAACTGGCAAGTTCCTGACCAATTATGAAGTAGACAGACATGGGCATTAGAAAGACATGCTTCCTATGAAAAGTCTTCCAGGCTCTGATTTTTTTTTTTTGAAAGCCCAAACAAGTGACTCCAGTGTCTGACACCATCTCTGCCATCTGAGCAGTGGCTTTTAACTGCCTCTGGATGCTCCATCATTGCTAGGGTCCCAGGAGTATCTTCTCTACTCTGGGATAAAAATCCCCACTGGTATTTCCCTTGGTCAGTTGCTGGTCTTGAACTCAAGGCCTGAGTGCTGTCCCTCAGCTCTCCAGCTCAAGGCTAGTGCTCTACCAACTTTGAGCTCCAGCACCTCTTCCTTCTAGCACTTTTCCCTGACCAGTCTCACAAGGAGCTTTTTCTACACAGACTGGCTTTGCACCACAGTTCTCAGATCAATGAATCTCTTACAAAAAGTCAACTCTACTCGAATTAACAGCAACAAGGCAGTCATTAAGTAAGCACTGTCTTACCTGGAAGTTATTAAGGACCAAAGTTACATCTGACAAACTTGTAAAAATCATCTGGCTTCGGTGGGCCTGCATGCAATTGTTACAACGAACCTGAAAAGCAAACTGGAATAGCAGTTAAACAATCATTTTGGTAGCCCTAATTTTTTCTTTCTCCACTAAACAGGACAATTTTACTGTTAAATTCCCTTTGTCTAGGAAGGCAGTCACTCCCTACTACTTCCCAAATGTTTATACAGGGGATGCAAATTTTCCCTTCTCCTAAAGCCATTTTAAATGACCTTTCGAAACACTGGGTCACACCTATTACCTTTTCCCAGCCTGATTAAAACAGCCACTTTTTACTGCAGTCTGGGTTTCTACCTAGAAAACCGCTGAACTCAAAATGAGTTTTTCCTTAATGCAAAAATTACAAGCACCAGCACTTTCCCATGCATGCAGAACATCTTTCTGCACTTTCTAAAATACTACTAATCACAAAATGGTATTGAAACCAAATTCACACAGATAAACCTTTTTAAACCCTCCTTTATATCTCAAGGTGTAGTTCTAGAAATATTAATCACAATACTCATTTCCAGTGTCCATCAGCAGGGAAAAGAGACAGGACCAAGATAAAACAAAAATCAACACATCCTACAGAATGTGTATATACCCATCCTACTCCTTTGTACCAGCTTACCCTCTTTTTGCATACAGGAACTCCCCACTAGTGCCTGTCCCACCATGCATGGACTGGCTGAGCTGCACTTTTGCAAGTTGACCTCTTACCCTCAAAGATTGGCCCACTGGCCTTTTTTCCTGTCCTTTTTACTAAGAAATCCAAGCAGTTTTAGATAGACAGAATAGACAAAGTCTTTGGCAATAATAAACAAACTTTTATATTTAAATTTCTAATACTTCTCCCCTCCTTATTCCCCATTTAGCAGGAAGAAAATCAATCCCAAGTTCCCAATGCCTCTTTGCTAGGCCAGATAACTTGATTGAACAGCCTTATGCATTAAAATACCAGATTTTCTTAATTTGCAAATTAGAGAATCTTTAGATCTTTTAAATACCCAAACCTGATGATATTTTTGGAGCTTAAACTCACCCATATATTTTTTTGTGGTCTAAGTATAAAACCACCCAATATTTTCCATTTTTACAGCATGCTGACAGTTTTTATCTTGAACATGTTCACATTCATATACATATTCATACAAACAGTTGTTCACAAAAGATCTTAAAACACACAAAAGATCTTAAAGTGCACAAAAATGACTAAGACAAAAGTTTTTAATAACGAACTTTAGTTGGACTTCATTTCTCCAAGTATTAGAATAACAATGAACTTTAGCTGGGCCACCTTCCTCAAGAACCTGCTTATTTAACAAGACATTTTAACAATTGGACTTTTAATACCTTCAGTTGGAAGTCATCTGAACCTAATCTGGCCTGACTTTTTCTTTTATCTTGACTTTTTCTTTAGACAAGAGAACTTTACACCTTTATTATACTACCAGGACCAGACAAATGTCAAGACCAAGCTTACAGCAGTCTCTTTAGCCAGATTACTAGAGGACCAAACCAGGCCTGTAAGTGTCCATGCCCCACCTCTTGACTACTGCCACATGGGAAGGGGTACATAGTGAAGTAAGGAGGCCAGGTCTGGCCTGCACCATACTGGCCACATGGTAAATGGTAGGGTCTGGCGTCTTGTCTTCATGCTGGGGGAAGGAAGCCCCCCCCCCCCATCACCTGCCTTCCAGGTAATGGGCGTGCTCAGATCCCTGGAGACAGGGGCAGGCACTGGGCAGATAGGTTACTGAATCTGTCAGTCAAGTGCCTGGGACTGGGAATTTCCTTAGGATCTGCCCCCTGCACAGACCTATTTAGACCCACACCAGCCTAGCCCCCAGGATTCCATACCATGTGTGTCACTGTGATTGTGTCCTGTGTCCTGTCTCCTGGCTCTTCTCCAGTCATCATGGCTTCTCAATTCAGCTCTCCATTTGGAGCTGAATTGGCTTGTTGGTATTGATTTTTATTATTTCTTTCCTCTTTAGCATGTTTCCTAGCTGTGTTATGTGTATTTGCATATTGCAGGCCTTTGTAACAACTGGTGGCCTGCAGCCTTTTAACTGTATAATAAAGACTCCAATATTCTATATTTCAAAATGTGGCTTCTGGGATGATTTACCATACAACATATGGTGCCCAATGTGGGGTCCTAGTGCCAAGGAGGGCATCTGGGTTCCTTGAAGCCAATGGTGGATGGTCTCGGTGGGCCGGATGTCATGGGACAGAAACTGCTACAGGGGAGGCATGGCCTCTAGGAAGTTCCAGGGCCCTGTGGTCTTTCTGTCACTCTGATGGCCCACTCATTGACACCAGACTTGCCATCCAAACAACTTTTGGAGTCACTTAGAAATCTTCCAAAAGTAAGTCTGTTTTTCTGTCCTGTACTCTGTCCTATATTGTGTTTATATGTTTTTCTGAAACTTGGGGGCCAGTCCATCTGGAAATTAGCAGACATGCTCACTAATGTGCCTTCTTCCTCTCAATTGAGGGATCTGAGAGGTTCTGGTGGCGCTGAGTGGGAGTGGCTCACTTGGCAGACTACTGTGGAGAGTTTTGCAGCTTTTGTGATTCTCATACAGTAGAGAGTTCTACATACAGTTGTGTTGGGGGGTCCCACTCATGGTGGGAGAGGCCCCAGCTCAGCTGGGTTTTTCTGTTTGTCTTGGTCTTGTGTCTCTTCTTGTGTTTGGTTTTGTGTCTTTAAGGGGGGAAATCAAGGTCTGCTATGTGCTGTACTTCCCACCCCCCCACCCCCACGCCCCCTCCGCCCCTGCTCTTCTGCTAGGAGGCAGTTGGGAGTTTGTAGGCAGCTGAGGGCCGTTTTCAAACAACTAGCTAATCTTAGCAGTTTAAAAATTAAGTGCTCCTGGCTAAAATTGGCAAAATATGTCAGGCAACCTAGTGGGCTGAGAGATTAGCTTTAGGTAACCTCTCCTTTCTTCCAATTGATGGTATTCTTCTAACTGATGGTCAATTGATGTGTAAAATGCTCTAGACAACTGGGACAAAACTAGAGTCAAGTACTGGGTAGGTCAAATTTGGGCACCAGGGAACTCCCATCCATCATTTTTTCAATAGAAATATTTGATATACTAATATGCCATAATAGAACAAGGTAGCCCTGGAAAAATTAGACCAGCAGAGTAATTTGTTAAAAATTTCATCTTAAATCTTGGTCATCGAGGGTAAGATTGGCAAAAAGATCTCTTGTCACTAAAAATTCAGGGAAATGTATGGCTGATATTCATTTTGCACATTTTAAGATCATTGTGCACAAAAATCTATGTATGAACTTAAGATAAAAATTGTCATCATGATATTAAAAAATGTATGTTAAGTTTAAACTGCAGGAAAGTTCAGCAAGTTTGGACATTACTAAAAATGTAAAAGGATTATTACATTTCTTTTAAAGAACTTTAGTTGAAAGATTTTGTAAGGATTCTTTAATTTGAAAATCAAAAATCTGCTGTTTTGATGCATAAGGCTGTTTGCATTGTAATCAAGTTATCTGGCTTAGCAAAACACATTGGAAACTTGAGATTTATTTCCCACCACTGCTAAAATTTGGGAATGAGTGTTAGAAATTTGGATATAAAGTTTTGTTTACCACTGTTAAAGACATTGCTTCTTCTGTGTGTCTAAACTGCTTGGTTTCTCAGAGATTAAAAAGGACAGGAAAAATTTAGGATAAGTCTATGTGCTTATCTTCAGGGGTGAGGGGTCCTTTGGCAAAGGTGCAGCTCAGCCTCTCCATGCATGGTGGGACAGGCCCTGGGGGAGTTCACGCATGGTTTCAGAAGGTAAGCTGGCACAAAGGCAGTTCATCTAACCCAAAAGTCAGATTGGGTGTATGCCTATTCTGTAGGACTGACCAACTGGCCCATCTTTATCCTGTCTCTTTTCCATGCAAATGGACACTGGAAATCTGATGGTAAAAATTGATGTTGTAATTGATATTTCTAAAACTACCCCCCTAGGATGTATTTAAATTGAAAAAAAGTTTTAAAGAAGAGTTTAAAAGTTTATTTATGTTATGTAATTTGATTTCTATGCTATTTTTGCAATTTGATGTATTTTTTTTGGGGGGGGGTCCGGTCATGGGGCCTGAACTCTAGGCCTGGGCTCTGTCCCTCAGCTCTTCAGCTCAAGGCTAGCGCTCTACCACTTGAGCCACAGCGTCACTTCCGGTTTTTTTCTTTTTGCTTATGTGGTACTGGGGAATTGAACCCAGGGCCTCATGCATGCAAGGCAAGCGCTTTACCACTGAGCCATCTTCCCAGCCCCTGATGTATTTCTTTTTAAAGACAAAAAGATGCTATGTCTAGATTCTTGGTATAGTGTTAGTGTTTGTAATTCTTGCATTAAGAAAAATTGCTAAGTTCCAAATGGTCACCATGACTGCAAAAACAAAACAAAACAAAAAAAGGTGGCCAGTGTAAAAACCTTTGGCTGAGAGGTAATGGGTATGCCAGTGTTCCAACAGGGCTTTTAAGTGCAAATTAAAAGTGACTTTAGGAAAAGTGATTAAAAATGGTGTCCCCATTGTAAAAGTTTGGAAAGTAGTTAAGGGAGTGTCTGGCCTCCCTGACAAAGTTTAAAATTAAAATTGTCCTAAAAGTTTCTTTAAAAATCTGAAAATAAGGGGGAGGGGGGAGGCTGGGAAGGGATGTGAAAGGTAAACAAAGGAGGAGGCTGCAATGCTTGGTAAGAAATGTATGCATTATCCTGCCCATGTAATTGTAACTCCTCTGTACAGTATGTTCACAAATAAAATAAAATTAAATTAAAAAAAATCTGAAAATATAGGAGGTTGGGAAGGTGGCTCAGTGGTAAAGTGCTTGTCTTGTATGCATGAGGCCCTGGGTTCAATTCCCCAGTACCACATAAGCAAAAAATAAAAAAAAAGCCAGAAGTGACACTGTGGCTCAAGTGGTTGAGCACTAGCCTTGAGCTGAAGAGCTGAGGGACAGTGCCCAGGCCCAGAGTTCAGGCCCCACGACCGGACCCCCCCCAAAAAAAAAGTCTGAAAAGATAAACTAGGATTACCAAAATGATTGTTTAATTGCTATTCCAGTTTTCCCTTATGGGTTTTTTGTAAGCTTCCAGCAAGCCCACAAATTTGTCAGATGTTTACTCTTAATAAGT